ATGTTCGAGATATCTCGTTAGGGGTCTTCGTGTTACTTTGAAATTCGAAAGTCTTTGTTGTAACTTGTACGCGTATTGCAACTTTGCACTCGTGTTACATGCTGCTGTATTTAACTATTCTTTTTCATCTACAGGTTGGTTTGGCGGTTGGAGATATTGAGTCTATTCGGAGGACAGCAAGTCTGCGAACTCTGATAGATCAAGCGTTATTGGTTGACGGCATTATGAAATCCTACCCAAGGTTTATTCTACGACGCATGTACAGATGCTCTCTGGAAATAAAACCAAATCAAAATAGTTTCTTCAATAGGTGAGTATTATCAGGGCAACATGTTATAATTGTTGGTTTCGTATACTAGTGCTAATATTATAACCGGGGCCACTTACACAACGAAAGACAAACCACCTTGCAATAAATCAGTTGTTGGAGCTAATCGGTGTTTAGTGGCAATACAACGTTTCAACTTGGAATTGGGGGGGGGGGGGGGGGGGGGTGTTGTAACCTGCGATGGACTAGCATCCTATTCGATCCAGGGGGAGTAGCATACTCCTAGTCGGCTTCATGCTAATTAAGAAAACCGGGATCAAAGGTCCGGTAGTGTGTGGGCCGCGCCAGTTTGGCCCGAATGCGGCTTTACCTTTTTTCCTTTACATGTGTATGTAGAATTGAATGGATTTTATACTCCATTTCTACTCCTGGGTGAAGAGAGGCACTGTGAAAATGTCTTGCCCAAGAACACAACACAGTGACCCCGGCCAGCGCTCGAAAACGGACCACGCGATTCGGAGTCCAACGGGCTAAGCATTAGGCCACCGCGTTTCCCGACACACTGACAAGTTTCATGTTAAATTCATGGCAATCAGTAAGAAAAAAAAAAAATATTTTAAGTTTTGGAATTAATGGTTTGATGTTGTTGACGAAAAGCTTTTTACTCATATTATCCTGTTTTGTGTATTGATTCAAACTTTTTTTAAACTTCCCAAGGTTGCCCTTTCTGGTACTGATCTCACAGATCGGGTTTCATGGACATGCTGCTGAATTACAAATCTGGCACGAGCACCGCAGAGGAGTTGTTTACCAATGACCAAGTGTGGCAGGAAAGACAAGAGGAGAGCAATAAAAAACTCCAAGCCACCGTAGAAGCACAAGGCAAACTTCTTAAGGCGATGGCTGATAGGTTAAACATTACAGAGTATGAATGAAATAATGCTAATTCATTAGTTTAGATCGATGTTTAATGCAAAATGCAAGGAACGCTTGGAATAGACATTGCCTGTACAAGGGTTTCATGTAAGTTAGCACCTCTTGCTCCCGCTAAAATAAGAGGGTAAGAACACTTTACAGTCGAACTGACTGCCAAACAATGCAAGTGGCCCTCGATACTAATTAAAAACTATTTTACAGTCATAATAAGTTATTGAAATTATAATTTATATGAATTATTATAATACAGCTAAAACTAGCGGAACTAACACTAACGATGCACATACATTGGAAACTAAGAGAGTAGTATTTTTAAAGGTAACTCGATCACAAATCCTACCAGTCTGTACGAGTTTTTCCCGGTAGCGTAGTGATAAAGCTTTGAAAATTGCTTGCTTTCTGAATCATTGTATGGTTTATTTGACCTTTTGTTGCCTGGTTCTTGGGATTGAGTTTGTTGAAATGGAAATGGTACGTTGTGGTAAATCGGTCGGCATTGGGGGAAAATTTATGTTTTTTCCATCATCTAGGCCGAATGTATTAGGATAACTGTTAGCCACTGATTTAAGGCGCGATCAAACGGTCCCAACATTTTGTCACAACATTCTCACAACACTTGTTGTGAGCCGATGGGCCACCCCTCACAACAATGTTGTGACAACATATATTTTGTTCTTGAAATCTTGAGAGGTTGCTGTGGCTGTTTGACCGGGCATGGTCACAACATGTCACAACAAATGTTGTCAGAATGATGTGACCGTTTGATCGGGCCTTTAGTTGCTGAGGATATTGAAGAGAGTGTTTGTACCTGTGGGTAACCAAATGTATGTGTTTGTTTGTACTTCTGAATTAACCTACGTAGAAACGAGGTGAACAATAAAAAAATATATGTGAATATGAAAGTTGTGCATATAGTATTTCCCTGTTTAAAGTCGCTTTCAAGTCCTTTACCAGCGCATAGAAGGACAGTGGAACGTCATCCAGCCTCCCATCTACCTCCTCCCCTCTCCCTCCTTCCCTCTTCAGTCCAATGGAAATTATTGTCCAATACATTGGTAAAAGTAGTATACACCTCCTCAGAAATGGAAAAAACTATTCTCAGCCCATCAAACTAAGTATTGGTTAAGAATTGGCACATGCCGATATCGACTGTTAATGTTGATTCACCTGTTTTGCTCGATCGTTCATCAAAAGTGCACCGCTGTGTAAATACAAAACGGTAAATCAATTGATGAACAACGAATAACAAAATAACTCTTTTAATCAGTAGCGGCCTTCCGTTACTAATACTAGAGCAACTCTTGCGCGACTAATTCTGACTTCACTGAATTTGCATCTTCCGGCAGTCAGTCATATCATTATATTGGATTAGAACGTTTTTGTGTCACGCAAAAATGTCAAAGCAAAGCGATCGGTTGCGATGATGTGAACGCTCACGTTCAAGTGTACGTCACGTTTTAATCGTCGCCATGAGCAGTCTAATGTCGACGTATCGTTCTATTGGTGTCAACGATGGAAAAGGTTTGAAGGATTGTTTTCTCTTTATCAGTAGTTTTAGTTCATACTAATCCAAAACGTTGTCAAAGTAAACAGTTTGTAGCCAAAAATATGGAACTATCACGTCTACGTATTGAGCAATGTACTTTCTTGTACTGCTTTCTCGTTGGCTATTTTAGCCTTATGAATGATAAGGATATGCTTGTCATAATACTGCGTGTTTTTTACGGACAACTACGAAAAACCCCCCGGGTTTTTCTATTAAGCGGTGTGTCTGAAGCTCGAGTTTGACATCGGTTGAAGTTTGAACATTAATTTCAAGGCAATGAAGCTAAGACATGAGTGGTTATAAACAGACGTTTATAGGCATCAAGGTTGTTTTTTTGTGTACAGGTGTAAACTATCAAAGCTGTTTAGTGGCACTATGTAGCCGGAGTTTTAGAAGTAATGAAGCTGATTTGAAAACAGAATAATTGTAAACGCCGGTCACGTTGAAATCGATAGCTCAAATAGTAAAGAACTTAATATGGCGGTGACTTAATCACGGATATATTTGCAAACGTCATCAACGTTAACACGGACTATTTGTGCAGAGAAACTCGAATAGGCAAGGAAACACAATATGTTTTGGTGTAATTTCTTCTGAATGTTATGTTTCTATGAGCTCAGTTTTTTAAACGTTCTGTTTCATCGACGAAACCATCAAGCATAAAATGAGTAATGTTAATCAAACAAACACAAAACATTCATGGGCTACTGAGCAGAAAATGCTAAGGCTACGTCTTATAGACAGTATAGCTGATAGATACTAAGATTATGGATTACGAATTTTGTGTTTTTGAGAAATCGGAAGCATTTTCACATCTTTCATCCTTTCAGGGAAAGCTACAGCGACTTGTATTACGGCCCGATATCGCCGGATTTCAGCCATTAGTTTCTGAAATTGACATCAGAGACAGCGAGTTTTACAGGCCTGGAGCCCATTCGTGCCTCATGATAACGAAACACTGGGGGGAGGAGTGGGGGGGGGGGGGGGGGGGCTGTATAGTTTTATATTGCCCCAGATGCCTTCCCATGCTATGTGTAAGTTCAGTTGCGGTGAAATTAGGTTTTTCTCGAAAGCCATGCCCTTAGTGAAATAAACGAAGAAATATGTAACAGGTCGTTTAACATCGACAATTTCCCCCGATAATATAGTAACTAATTGTGTAATTTACTCGTCTTTATTATTTTTCTAGACATTCAAGACAAAATGAATTGAACTGGCTGATAAAAATGCTCAGCAGTACACTTTTAGTTAAGGAGTCACTTTGTTGCAGTTTGCCATACAGTATATACCAATCTTTTCAGTATTACGCCATTTTGATAAGCAGTACATTATATATTAGATTGTTGTAAAACTAGCATGAGCGAAAATTTCGTTAGTATATTTTACGTAACCGTTACAATTTATTTCAATTAGATTTGTTAATGTTATATATTAGCACTGATCATGAAATCTTCGTCTTGAGTACAAAGTAGCTGGTATAAAGTAGCCTGTTCCAGGCTCTCGGTTAGTGGTGATGAAGCGAAAAAGCGAATGGCCGCGCGAAGGTAGTCTGGGAGAGAGTTTAGGCAGCGGCGGGAGCAATCTCGTTCCCAGAGTCCTCGCTCCACCGCTGGACAAGGGTAACGAGGACTCTGGGAACGAGAACTCTCTCCCAGACTACCTTCGCGCGGCCGTTCGCTTTTTCGCTTCGTCCCCACTATCCGAGAGCCTGGAACAGGCTAGTATAAAGTAACTTACGTGTTGTTGTCATCAGATAGCCCCAGATTTTCGTCTGGAGGTACACAAAGAAGTAACATATCTCTGACCAAAGTTGAGCCATTGATTGATCATGAACTGGAACTCATCTCCAACCCTGGAAGTGGTAGAGTATCACGAAGCATCACTCCGACTTCACCACTGGAAACGAAAATTCAACCATTTCAACCGGCCATAAATGGTTTGCTGTACTTTGAAAACGGCAGTTTTTCAGGTTTGGAAAATGTGGACGATACGGACAGTGAAGGACAGTCTGCCCTTCACCGAGCTGTTCGTGTTAATGATGTTGGCACAGTGGTTGCTTTGTTGAATAATGGTGCGGACATCAGTCTAGCGGACAAGCTTGGATTTACGCCCCTTCACACAGCCGTTAGGTATGTTAATAACTACTGACGTTTAACCACTCCTTCAGGGGCCGGATTCACGAAGCCCTCGCCATTGTTGGGAAAGAATACAAACAATACGTAGTTGTATGGCTTTGCTAACCATGAGCCCTCCATAGCTCAGTGGCCGGTTAGAGCGTCCAACCGGCATCTGGAAGGTCATGGGTTCCATTCCCGTTGGAACAATACTTACCATACATCTTCACCTAGGAGGGCTTCGTGAATCCGGCCTCTGGAATTGTATAACGCATTATTTTCATTGCAAATCCTAGCTTTTATTTCACGTAATATTCTATTACAATAATAATAATTATAAGAGCAATATATAATTATAATAATAATAAAATTAAAAAAAAAAAAACATTACACTTTCTATTTTGAGTGAATACATTCTTTACAGGTTTGAGAGAACTGAGATTGTTAAACTTTTGCTGCAAAGAGGAGCTGATCCATTTATCGAAAACGATGCCCACCTTACACCACTTCACATAGCTGCACGAAGGGGCTTTTACGGAGATATCCAGTTTTCTGTTGAAAGATGCAAGAGTAAAGGGCACCTTTTTAAATCAAGGAAAATTAACGCCGTTCCACATGGCCTGTATTGGTGGAAATCGAAAGACGTGCGAGTTGTTTTTGAGAAATGGTGCCGACATAATGTACAGGGCGTTAAGTCGCAGCACGCCACTTCATCTTGCGGCCTGGCAAGGATACGAAGATATTTGCCAACTCCTCATTGAAACTGGTAATCCTTTGTTATATTTCTAATACAGGCTTTTCATGTTATTTGTTTGTTTGTTGTTGTTTTTTTTTTTTGACGTCTTTGACTAAGCGAGTCCATGCAAGTGTTATAGAGAATGGTACGTATACTGTCTTTGGAATTGAACTATTAGCTACAAAGCGATTTGATTTCTAAAGAAAGTGTTGTCCTGCGTCGGCGGGGAATTCAAGTAAAACACTTAATTTGTTATGAACGTGAAGTTGATAAATAATAATAATAATAATAATAATAATAATCATGATTAATATTAATAATATAATTAAAGGTAAATTAACCACTCTAGCGAATTTGGAAAGCTCGGAATAAAGTTAAGGGCTACGATGAATGGTAACTATGGTTTAAGCAACGACACCTTTTCATTGAAATTTTGCTTTGGACAGCTCTTGTTAAACGTTAATCAATCCTTGTAAAAGACTTTCAAACTGAGCAAACCTTAAAATGAAGCCTGATACTATACATGCACTATTACATTTTTTTCTAAAGCAGCTTCCATGACGTCTTCTGTAAATGACTATGTCAACATAACAAACAAGGAAGGAACAACAGCTCTTCACGGAGCCTGCATGAGAGGTCACGCAGGAGTGGTCGACTTGCTATTACGTCACAACGCGGACCGTGATGCAGTAAACTGAGTGGCATGTACCTCGCCACTTCATTTAGCAGCTAAACATGGTCACTTGACGTTGGTCGAACTCCTCATTTTGTATGGGGTCGTTACTGACGTCAGGGATGGCAGCCTGAGGACGCCATTGCATAGGTATGGTTGCTATTTGCTGTTTTCTACTTTGGATGTGTTCAAATCATACAACATGAATCAGTATTGTGGTTTCTTAATGATCGCACAATCAAGTTTTTTTTGAAGTTTTATGAAGGCGGATATGACATATCCGTTGCTCAAAAAGCAGATAACTTTGTCCAGCGGATAAATCGAGTGGATAACCTTTATAAATTGCAAACCAAACTTATACAATAGAAAACAAATCGTCTATAATTAAACATCCTATAAGTTTTTTTTTTATAACTATCATATCTGTCAGTAGTGTCTGTTGGGCTGCCTTTGTAGTCAAACGGATTAATGTTTCCAAATTCGATATTTACCGCCATTTTCTTCGATAATCTTTTCCTCATTAGATTGCTGATGATTCTTGTTAATCCTCGTCGCCAGTTGTAATACTTTAATCGCGTTTAAGTCAGAAAAACAACATCAGTCCGGCCGTTTTACACGCACGCTTTTTACAATATTCTCTATCCCATAATATGCTACCACAGGCAGCCCAACAGACACTATAATATATCTTTGACTGAACAAGTTTCAGAGTGCTGTCATTTTTAATGCATAAATACAATTTTGTTGAAATTGCTCAAACAACAATTGACACTGACACAGGGATCAACTTACTCAAGTTCGTATAAATCTCCAAAACATCATAACATTACCAAGACGATATCAAACTTGGCAAGCACTTTATTATCATTTTTATTTAATAATGGATGAACCTGATTTAGGTGTTGTCTGATATGTGTTAATTTCTAGCTCACGTGACCTGTTGCGATTGCTCCCTTATGCTAAAAGAAAGGTGAAAATGGGCCGCTGAGATGAGATACGAAGAATATCAAATGCAGAGTTTCTATAACAGAATGATGTCCGGAATTGATGACTGAGTTTTCGTGGGGGGAAATGGGGGGGGGGGGGGGGGGGGGAGGATATTTTG